TAACGTGCGGTATGCAGCTCTTCTGGTGCCCGCAGTGTTCTGCGTGTTCATTTTGTGTGGATGTGGCAGGCCACAGCATAGCTAGCTCTTCTGGGAGAAGCTCTTGGATTGTTTGTTTTGGAAAGAAAACACACTCACCATTTGTCTTCTGAGCTCCTCCCTTTGAATCACAGGTTCATGAGGAGGAGTGGTGCTGGATTTCCACCCTCAGCTTTCTGTCCTTTAGCATGGCTGACGTTCAGGAATATTGTGTGGAGCATTGTGTCCAATAAAAACCAGCTGCTGACTCCACTGAGGACTGTGGGCACTCCTTTACTCCTTTCCTCGGTGACTTAGAGATGTTGCTCTTTGGTGCAAACCCAGAGGTGCCTTTGGTGCAAGTTCCTCTTGAGTCTGCTGCAGTGGTGATTGCTCAAACTCCTCCTTGACATCCCTTCCTCCCCAAGATGAGTAAAAATGATGTTCATGAACGCTGACAACAAATGAGAACAGTTCCTAAGCTGCTTATATGTCTGCTCTCTCTCATCTTTAACAGCATGCTAAAAAAAAAAAAAAATCTATAATCTTATCAGGAGTCTTGAAAATCCTTTGTCAGTTCTTAATCATAACAGAGCTGAAACCAGATGGGGTTTCCTGGTAGCTTGTGCAACCACCTGGATCCCTGCTTTCCTGCAGCCCACGGAAAAAAATTTCCAGAGAAAAACCATTCAAATGCTGCTTGTTTTGGTGTTTGGCTTTTTTCTCCCCCTCGCATGATTCGAAGCTTTGAAAGCGCAATGTTTTTCACACGAAGTTCTGGTTCCTGAATCATGGTTGTTCAGATCCAGGCAAGTTTGTCCCTTAGATGTTCTTCTGTACTTAATAAAAGCAACTTGGTATTAGTACAAGGCAGAAACATGCTTTTCACCTGGTTTGACTCGCCAGCGTGCTTGGCAGGGTCGGTGTGCCACAGATGGATGGGGCATGTGAGTAAGGTGGTATGTCGGGGTTTGAAATGGAGACGGTTGTACCTCACCTCGTATCGCAGCCTGGTGGTTAATGTGCAGCGAGAGTGGTGGTGGTTCTCAGCGGCATTTTGTTTGCCTCTGTATTGACTGGTTTGATATTTCTTTGGTGTTTTATTGGGTGAAGATTGTAAATAATACAAATAACTGCTGTTCTAAGTTAAGGTTTTGGTCCTTACTGATCATTTCACTAAGGAAGAGAAGCAAATTTTTCTTACCTATATCTTTCAGTTCTTGTAATAGGAGGTTCTTTTCCAGGCAAAGTTACCTTAATTATTTTTTTTGTTCTTTTGCCGTACTTTTTTTGTGCTGAAGAAAGGATCAGATGTGCTTTTGATACTGACACTTACGCACGTTGCATTTGTTTCTTCACTTCTGTGTTGCAGTCGTTGTAGCGATGAGTCTCAAACTTATGGAACTCTTACCTAGGAGTACACATAACAGCAGAGGGAGCTTTTGGCTAGAGAAAAAAAATAAATTAAATGGAATATATTGAAAAACGCGCAAAACACAATCTTTGTTCTGTTTTCTCTAAGACGCTTACCAGTTCTGTCTGTCCTGTAGGCTTTTGACTGTTCTTATTGGTAAGAACAGATCATCTGCTATCTCAGAAAAGCTGTCTTTCCTCTTCATTTAACAGGAGTAAGATTTCATGTATCCAGAAAAGCTTCTGATGTGCTTTCAGGATTTTTAAAATCTCACAAAGAAATAAGGAAGGGTAGGTGAAAACCAGGGTGGCTTGGTGTTCAGCCCAGGGCTGGGACAGAGGAGGAGGAGTTACCTTGTGTATGAAATAGCTATTCTTGGTTAAAAACTAGTATGTAAACACTGTTGCACCTAATTGCAATTTCAGATCAGACACACCTGACAAAAATAGTGGGTGGGTTTGTTTTTTTTTCCCAAGCTTCAGACATTTCTGTTAAATTGAATTCACACAGAAGCTTTTATCCTGGTTTTTTTTTTTCATCAGGTCATTTGGGGTAGTTTTGTGGGAGCTGCTTACAGGAGAGATTCCCTACAAGGATGTGGACTCTTCAGCCATCATTTGGGGAGTGGGCAGTAACAGCCTGCACCTTCCTGTCCCTTCCACCTGCCCAGATGGTTTCAAAATCCTCATGAAGCAGACCTGGTAAGAGCCTGAACCCCACACAACCTAGGGCTGGCTCCCAGCTCTTGCCAGATGCCCAGTAAAACCAATGAAACCAGAGTCAGGGTGGGAGTGTTGAGCCCGGAGCAGAGGGCTTTTAAATACTCTGACGCTTGTCACATGCCAGATTAGAGTTTAAATTCTTTGTCTTGGCTTAGGCATTAATGTTTTGTCTTTGTAATTGCATCTTGACACAAAGTGTAAGTGGTCTTCCAGCATTTTCCCTCTTCAGAAGTTTTGCTAGCTACCCTCCGGATGGCAGAAAGGGAAAACCAGACCAGAGCATTCGTGGAGCTCTTCAAGTGGCTGTGTACCCCCTCGTCCCCAAGCTGCAGCAGGTCTTGCTGTTGTGCTGTCTGTGCTGAGACGTGCTCTGCCTGGCTGTGCTTCTGCTCAGGGCTGCACAAGGCAGGAAGCAGTTTGTGCAGCTCTGAACATGGAGTACACACACTGGTATCCCCACCTAGTGGAAGTAGGTGGTTTGGAGGGGAGAGATGGCTGAAGAAGCTATTTCTTCTGTATCTGTGCAGCAAGTCTGGTGGGCGCAGTCCTGAAGCTTGAGTGCTCGGCTCTTTCTCAAAGATACAAATGGTTTTGTACTTGAATGTGACCTTACAGAGATGTTCAGTGCATTAAAATACCATGTAGGCTTAAGCATGTACTATGTGGCAACATAGCTTTGGTGTTTATAGACACCCTGTTTTGTTGAATGTAAATTATCATTTACACTAGATTGAGTATTCCCATTATAAAATTTGGAAATTAACAGGATAGTGAACTGAGATCTGTTTCTTCTTGACAAACAATTTAGGAACAGTTTCAGTTTGTATCCTGTCTTTCACTTTGTAATCACATTTTCCTACAAAGGCCTACAAAGATGATTAGGGGACTGGAGCATCTCTCGTGTGAGGAAAGGTTGAGAGAGCTGGGTCTGTTTAGCCTGGAGAAGAGAAGACAGAGGATCTGATCAACGCTTATCAATATCTAAAGGGTGGATGTCTAGAGGAAGGGGCCAGACTCTTCTCAGTGGTGCCCAGCGACAAGACAAGGGACAATGGGCACAAAGTGGAACACAGGAAGTTCCATCTGAACATGAGGAAAAACTAATTCACTTTGAGGGTGACCGAGCCCTGGGACAGGCTGCTCAGAGAAGTTGTGGAGTCTCCTTCTCTGGAGAGATTCAAAACCTGCCTGGACACCATCCTGTCCAACCTGCTCTGGGTGATCTTGCTTTAGAAGGGGGGTTGGACTACATGATCTCCAGAGGTCCCTTCCAACCCCTACCATTCTGTGATTCTGTGACTTAGAATGGTTTTCATCTCTCTGTTTCTTCAGAATAGCTCATCACAAACCAAAAACTGAATACAAAGCAGCTCTAGCACAATAAACTCATATTCAGCAAAAAAGAAAACCTGAAAAGCTCTTTTGCTCTAACCTGTCAGCTACGTGATTCAGAGAATGTGTTTGAGTGAGAAACCCTTCCAGAAGGGTAGGAGAGGATAGCGATGTTAACCTAGTCTCAAGCTTGCGTATTTGTCTGTTTTGCTTCAGGCAGAGCAAGCCCCGGAATCGTCCCTCCTTCCGGCAGACGCTGATGCACCTGGATATTGCATCTGCTGATGTGCTGGCTACTCCTCAGGAAACCTATTTCAAATCACAGGTAACTGGAGAATGGCTGGAGCCCGTGAGAGTTACTGCCACCCCTGTGACAGTCATCGTGGTCACGAATATCAGTTTCTAAATCATAAGTCTTTCTGTTTAGTTTAAATGCCAAAAGGGAAGAAAATGCTGTATTAGGACAAAAAGAGCTTTAGAAATTTTTAAAAATATTTTTTACAAAATGCAGCTATATTTTAAATGATCTGATCAGAGCATAAAATTGGAAATACCATTTGAAAATGCTGAAACTAAACACGCTGAAATGTTACCCAAAATAATTCAGCTAACAAAACCACATTTTCAACTCAAACCTGTAATTTTCTGCAGACAAAGGATGTTGCCCAAGAGGTTTTCTTTGGTGCAACCAGGGATCCCCAGTCCTTTGTAAATACCTGAAAGTAAATTGCTTCCCTAGGCTGAATGGAGAGAAGAAGTGAAGAAACATTTTGAGAAAATTAAAAGCGAAGGAACTTGTATCCACCGGCTAGATGAAGAATTGATTCGTCGTCGAAGGGAAGAGCTGAGGTCTGTTGACAGTGTTTTATGTTTACCGCTCACTTTTCCCATCCAGCCTTTTCTTCTGCAGCTACATGAGCCCAGCTCCCTCAGCTTCTCTTCACAGGGCATGTGCTCTGTGTTTTCATCCTCCTTTTGTACTGAGGACCCCAAAACAGGACTCAGGATTCCTGACAGCGTAAATTCAGGCAGCCTTAATTCCTTGTGAGTCCAGAAACTGAAGTTCCCGCAGGCATGCCCTGGGCCTTGGGCACTGCTTGGCTGAGGGACAGCTAGAGAGAAAGAAACAGTGGAAAGTGTCCCTGCTCTTGGGTGCTCTGAACAGTTTGCTCCAGGCAAGGGGAGCAAAGGCTTGTGTGTTTACTAGGGAATATTTCTGCCTGAGTCTCGGTGACTGTGCTAACAGCACCGAAGCAGGTACACCCATCTCAGTGGAAAATGCATCTTGCAGTTTGCTGTGAGCTTTCTCTGCCCTGAGACTTTCTTTGGATTAGTTATTTCCAGAGAAGGGAACACACTCCAGTTGATCAGCCCACTGAAATTCATTCTGAACATTAGACCAACTTAAAAATGAAACAGAATGTTTATTTAAGAAAGAAAACTGTTATTGTCTGTGGTACAAATTTGCAAATATAGCTATGACAGAAACAGAAACCAGCAAGTAGCAGTTCTGTGTCAAATCTGAGAAACCAAAGGTTGATGTAGGTGTTGGTCGATGTTCCCTAGCCCTAGGGAGCTTTGGATGGTCACGTCTTTCAGCTCTGATTCAAGATGTCTTCTGCAACTATACTGTAGCGGTAGGGGCATGTTGCTTTTTGTGACATACAGAAGACTTCTCCTCCTTTTTCCTTAGAAGCTGACTTAGCCCCTTCTCTGTGCAAACAGGATCATCGGGGCTTGGCCAAAGGTCTTTTGGATGATGTGAGGCATTTGCAGCTTCTCTAGTGAGAAGCATTGCCACTCATTCAAGGCTGTTAAACGCTTTCTCAGTCATGATTCATTGCTGTATCAAGCTCTAAATCATCATTCCCTGTTAGCTCGATCTGGGGTTCACTGCAAAACAGCTAGCAAATTTGACTTTTAGAAGGCCTTTTCCTGAAGCACCTGTACTTTTCCTTATTCTCCTCTTTTCGTCCATGGACATCAACTTGTGGAATAATAACGTCTCTGTTTTTCAGACATGCATTGGATATCCGCGAACACTATGAGAGGAAGCTGGAGCGAGCCAATAACTTATACATGGAGCTTAGCGCTATTATGCTGCAGCTGGAGGTCCGTGAGAAGGAGCTCATAAAGTACGTATCTCTGGGCATAACAACATGTCGCGCATGTGGCAATATGCATGCAGGAGGGAAAAAAACCCCAGTGCTTCATTTCTAAACTGCATAGTGGTACTTGTAGATGTACTGTCCCCTGACAAACTTCCCGGGTAAAAGAAAGAGCTGGCAAGCAGGGAGGTGCCTCATAGGAGTAAATTACTTCAGACCACTTAGTGCACATAGCTTTACTCACTGTTTACTGACTGGAAGAAAGGCGCCTTTCCCATTTGGTTGTTGGCATCCTTTGGCCCCTTTGTAAAGAGAAAAGCAGAGCTGTTTCTGGACTGTGCACCAGGGCCCTGTTCCAACTGCCTGATCTCTGCAGAGAGAATTTAGAAAATGACTATGTCCTTTTCCAGAACAGCATGCTGTGTTGCACCCAGCCATAGCTGGGAAGCAAGCACGCTGTGTGCTCACAGTGGAGCTGTGTTTCTGTCCAGCAGGAGCTGCAGTTGGATAAAGAGAGAGCTGATCTGTTTGTTTTGGTTTTTTTTCTTCCCCAATGTTTCAGGAGGGAACAAGCAGTGGAAAAGAAGTACCCTGGGACTTACAAACGCCACCCAGTCAGACCAATAATCCACCCCAATACAGTGGAGAAGCTCATGAAGAGGAAGGGGGTCTCCCATAAACCAGGCAGCCAGACTAAAAGGTAAGAAGTAACAAGCTAGTTCAGTGCCAGGAACCAGCAGTAGATCCCCACTGAGATGAGCAGACAGCTTACTTCCCTTTGATGACAGCACAGGACAGGCCAAAGGGGTGTTCACTCTTGAGCCTGGTCTGATCCTCAGAACCACAATTGTTTAATTACCTTAAGGTAAAAGGGATGAATCCTGCCATCCCTTCTACCTGGGCAGCTCTCTGGAACAGTTTAGTCCGTATGATTTTTTTCACACATGATGGTGCTTTGACAGGAGGTATCTAATGTATTGTCTTGAATTCCTGACTGCCCAAGCAGAGAGTGGTTAGATCATCCTTGACTTGAACGGTAATAAGCAGGGTGAGGGATTGTGGAAATCAGCCAGTCCTCAGGGAGGATGGACTCATTGTTGAGGAATTAAATTGGGATTTGAGAGTTGGGAATTCATGCTGTCCTTTCAGCTATTTCTCTTCAGCATGACTTTCAGACAGTGAGATTTTATTTTTTTTTTTCAGAGGAGTTGTCTGCTTTATTCTTCCCTTTTCTGGGATTTCCAGGAGTTAAAGTCCTGATTAACAGTGAATAATCCCTTCGAATTAATATCCACGTATGCTTCTGAAATGAGCAGGCTGATAACCATCGGCAGATCGGGACCCTATTGTGCTGAGCATTGTATATGCACTGTGGTGGGTTGACCCTGGCTGAGG